CGTTTCTCCTTGAATTTTCCTTTCGCGTTCTGCGTTTTCCATCAATTTTCCAGAATTATATTTCGCAATCGTTCGTTTCGAAACGGTGAGAACGGTGACAGTTGAAAATCGACGTCGATTGAATTTAACATGTTACAAATCTCGGACTCTGATTTCGAAAGAGTTGAACTATAGTTCAAACTGTGGTTGGATTTTCCCAACGGTGGGCCAATTAAAGAAACTTAATTGGGGCATCGACCAAATGATAAATGCCAATCCAGTGGATAATTACAGAATATAAATGAAACATAATTAAATTGAATGAAACATATTCTTAAATTAAGACTCGCGGGTTAGAAAACTTAGGCTGGGAAAAAAGGAAACAATAGATGCGCACGGCACGTGAACGAGCGCATCTATTGTTTAAATTTTAAATCTATTGTACGCCTTTGGCTATAAATAGATTTAAAATTAATTCTAATAAATTTATTCACGCCGGCAATAATAGTTCAAGAAAATTCTAAAATTACAATAACGTATCGCGATTGTTTCGCTTTAGATTATAATTCCGTTTAATCGAACGGAACGAAATTTAGGTGAAGGATAGACGATGGGTGAACTATAGGAGACTGTATTTATTTTAGAAATGAAATGTTATTATTTTACGAGTCAATATCTCGCGATCCGTCGATTATCAATAAAGAGGATAATTTCGTACGCTTCGAGTTATGGTTGGTTGATGTTATTTATGAGATCGAAGAATACTGGAGCGTATTGACCCGGGTTTCTCAGTTGATCTTTCGACGATTACGAGCAGGTTTCGTTTGGCCTGAATGTATTTCCATTAACGTTACAGATTCACACGAGACTAATCTTTCCATTCGCGTATCTGTGTGTATGTGTGTGTACCTTTCACGTCGAAAGTTACTGCAGCATCGTTTTACTAGTAAATTACACGAGCCTCAAATTCGAAATATTGACATCGATTCGTAATATCGGTGTCAAAGACGCTGTCCTCGTAAATTTCTAGTTTTCAAAAACGAGAGTTTCAAAACGTTGTTCTAAAGGAATGGAGCGGCCTTCGCCATCATCTAACTCCAGATTTTACGTTGCATTTTCATTCTTACGATATTCTAAATTCCTTCGCTGACGCGCCAAAGAATATTAAAATTTATCGATAGGTCAAGTATCGGAAATGAATCACCAGATATTTGAAATATTTCGTAATCAACGGTCGTTGATTGAAAATTCAAACATTGTACGTAAAAGAAGAGACTAGTCATTGTTTAGAAAAATGAAGCGGAGAACGATCGATGCGATACTTGAAGAGATAAAATAATTATTGAAACACAAACACGCATAGAAAATTCAAAAAGAGGAAAACATGAAATTTTCGACCGTGCATTCATCGCGATTTGAGAAATCACTTTTGAAAGCAAAAGTGGTATATTATATATTTTCTGTTGTAAAACGATCGTGGATTGTAAATTAGTTTGAAAACTGGCGAATAAAAACGTAAAGGCTTTTGAGAGCGAAACATCGAAGATAAGAAGAAATATAATTGCGCAAATAATTCGGTTTCTAGTCTTCGAATCTGCATCTGCTCCAATCTTGCTCTTGTTTCAATAAATGAAAGAAGTTTCAACGTTTTCAATAGTAGCAGTATATAAATCGATCGCTTATCGCCGTCAGAAATTTCAGAAACATTCTCCAAACTGGCGAGAAATGGAGAGATTGTGGCGGAAATGGTTCAAAGGATCGCTCGTTTGCTCTTCAAAAAAAAAAAAAAAAAAAAAAAAAAAAAAAAAAAAAAAAANAAAAAAAAAAAAAAAAAGAAAAAGAAAAAGGATGTTAAATTAATATTTCCTTCAGATATTGCCCACGATCGTTTCTCCTCGCACAATATCACTATCCCCCTCGTTTATCACTTAACCATACGACTTCGAAATCACCTGTCAACCATTCTCATTCCCCTTTCGAACGCCTCTCTGACAAAGTCTCTCATAGTCAGACGACACATAGTGATCGCGACTCATCGCCTTTTCATTTGCGTTGTCCAAAAGAAAGCTCGCTTTCTTTCCACCAATTATCATCGCGTCGTCAACTGAACATTTTGTAGGTACAAAGCCAACGATTTAGTGGTGATCGAAGAGGGCCGGTGGAAAATGGGTGACAGAGTAGTAGAATGCTCGCTGTGAGCGATTGGTAATGACCTCAAACGCGCCATTGACCTCCTTTATGGAGAACCTGTTCCCAGCTTAGAAACATCATTTCTTTTCTTCCTTGTTCTCTTTCTCTCTCTCTCTCTCTCTCTCTCTCTCTCTCTCTCTCTTTCTGTCTCTCTCTCTCTCGAGCGAGTGCGGGATCATTTCTCTTCAACGGAACCGCTCCGGCTCCTTTCGCTGCGGATACTCCCTCACGGATACGCAGCAGCATGTACCGTTTTGAATCCGATCGTCGCCGAGCACTTTTACTCGACACGCATCGCTCGCTGCGCGCTCGTCGACCCAGAACAGGATCTTGAACTTTTACGTAATTTTGATCGTTAAGGTAACGTGACGACTCGAATTTTTCCTCTATTTTTTTTTTTTTTTTGTTTTGTTTTTAATTTGCGCAGCTTTTGATACTTTTGATGTTGTAAGACAATTTGGATTTTATGTTAATGTTAACTAGGTTGGTTGATCTCGAGATTCCGAGGGAATGGGATTTTTAACTTTTATGTAGTTTAACCTTTCAAGGGCCGGGTATTTCAATCCTCTTTCACTAGTGGATTTAAATCGCCAGGCGAAGTTTAATTTTACATGTTTCCACATAAATTGTTATGGTTCCTATATTTCCAATAGTTAATCAAATCAAATAAAGAGCTACTCAAAACAAGAAGATACATCGGACATTCGGTTTTCTCAGATATTATATTACATAGGTGTCGATATATCGAACGTTAGTACTTAGAAGGTTAAGAATACGCGACGAAAAAATCGACGACTCGAATTTGTCCACTGTTTTTTTCTTCTTTCTTTTTTAATTTATGATCCCTCTTTTGGTACTTTTGAAGTTGTAGAATAATTTGGATTCTGTGTTAATTTTAAACTAGGTTGGTTAATCTTGAGATTTAGAGGGAATGAAACTTTTAATTTTTATGTGGTTTAAGAATACGTGACGACTCGAATTTGTCTCCTGTTTTTCTTTTTTTTTTTAAATTTGGTCCCTCTTTTGATAGTTTTGAAATTATAGAATAATTTGGATTCTATGTTAATTTTCAATCGTTCAAAATACTTATATGATACCAAAAAAAAAAAGAAGACACATGTCTCGAGCGAAAATGCACAATAGCTGAACCACGTTACACGTGAGAGATCCGATCGTAGCGAATTGCAAACTTTCACGCGTCAAAAAACTCGTGGCAAGTGGAACGAGACCCGCTGCACGATTTTGCATCCTCTGAATTACTAGGTCACTGGGTCTCCCGATCATAAAGACATTTTAATGCAACTTGGTCGTTACTGCTTTTCGCAATAGGCGTTTCTAAACGATGTGTCTCTATCAATCAATTAATTGAACGATCTTGTCGACTCTTAAGCAGTTGGAAAACGACATTGTACTCGATTAGAAGTTGAATCTACGTTTGCTCGGTCTTATCTTACTTCAATTTAATTGCCGCTTGTAGAAACTGGCCGAGAAAACTGCTACGTCAGCTGCGTAAATTCCTGTTTTCTAGAAATCTAGATATGTTGACTTACGAGTACTAACGACGTCCAATGAAATGTTCGCCTTAGGGACATTTTCGACAAACAGCCGAACGTTGACGTAAACTATAAAAAAAACAAGTTTGGATCTTGAAGATTGAAATGCTTGGAATTTTTTAATTATTGCAGTATTATTTATTATTTTATTATTATTTTTGCAGTATTTATTTTATTTATTTATTATTATTATATTATATTTATTTTTATTATTTTTGCAGTGTTATTTATTTTTTTTATTATTAATTATTTTTATAGCTCAAAGAGCTGCATATCTGATTTTAGATCAGATAAAATTTTTCAAATGGATCGTTTCCTGGAAATTTTCCTGAAAATCGATATTCACTTCAGAGGGGATTAAGATTTTATTCGCGAACGTTATCACGTTCCATATTTTATCGAGTGTAGAAAGTAGGATAGATGAAAGAATTTCTCAAAGAATTTGAGAATTTCGAAACTTGGAATGTCGGGATTTTTTCATTATCGGAGTCTCCCGGTTTAAATTGGTTCAGTGTAATGCACTATCGAATGCTGAAATTCTTCTCGAGGACTGACAGAACGCAGTTTCTGATTTGTCTGAAAGTGATTTATTTAGTAGAGAGCTGAATTATTAACAAGACTGTACGTATATTCTGTACGTAATTAAGAAAGTAAGACAGAGACTTTAAAAGCAGGTATGTTTGAATTATGAAAGCTTGGAATGTTGGAATTTTTTTAATTAATCGAGGATCCTGTGGAACGTGGAATTTCTCAATTGTTTAACTGAATTCTATAAGCATTCAACGATTCAACAATTTTAACAAGTATATTTAGTTGTGATGCACGGTTCTTGGGCAGAAATTGAAAAAAAATTGTTAAGATCTAGAAGCAATTTTATTGTTTAAATAGTCTCAACGTTTAAACAAACATATTGGAAATAAATTAACCAACGTTGACATTAATATCAACTGAACAATTGAATTGAAACGAAACGAAAGTAAAGTGGGAATGTCTCTCTTGTGTGTTGTCGTGTTTACTTATAAACGAATAGAACTCACGAGTATCGTAACAGAGAATAATAATAATTCCAATTTGAGGTGTTGCAAGTCAATGGAACTCGAAATGTTACGAGATAATTTGCAAGTCGTGAAATGAAAGTCTCTTTTGCCTCTTTTTCCTTTCTTTCTCTCTCTCTCTCTCTCTGCATTTCTCAGTGAAAGATTTCTTTTCTTTGAATGACTCTGCTAATTAACAGTAAAGGTGTTACCACGATGTTACAGAAGCGATTACCTGTTTCAGATTGTTCAAGATGGCACCAAACATGTTTGGTTCATCGGCAACCTTGTACTTGGAAACGTCCCACCAAGAGAAATCGGCGACAGAAAAGGCGAGCAACCAGACGCTGCAATCCCAAAAATCATCGACCCAATCGAAATATAAATGGAGAATCGTTTGGAGGAACGTGATCGCGTTCGTCTATCTTCACCTTGCAGCTGTGTACGGAATTTATCTTAGCTTCACGGCGATAAAGCTGCAAACAACTATGTGGGGTGAGCATAAATCGTTTTCTAAAGCCATGCTGAAATTGCGGGAATCACTGCTTTATAATTCCTTTGCTTACTTTCCATTAAACGTTTCAACTTGCTTCACCTTTATTTTCATCTCTGTCGAAAACAAAGTAATGAAACGCGGAACATTCAAGTGTTACATTAACAATTGAATATTGAAGATTGACAGTTCTAACAATCTTGCTATTATTATTACCATTTCTCTTCAAGGGACAGAAAGGTTCGCCGTTCGCTTGACACTCAATTAAAAATACTAAATTTTAGATACAAAAATTTAATAAAAAAAATCTAAAAACGATAGCGCAAAAGGAGAGACCTGCAACTTTTACTGTAATCTGAAATTTCGATCTCACGTGTCGAACGTACAGAAAGAAACGTAACGTCACTTTTGTCGCGCATCACGTGCTTCGTATTCAGCCGATTTCAAGAGTGATCATTCTTCATCCTGACCACACAGAATTCTGCTTCTCCTTCTCTCTCTCTCTCTCTCTCTCTCTCGATTGCTGCTTACGCACGGTGTCTATACAATTATAGTTATTAATGACGGCCGTGCATAACTAGGTCGAACGTAAAAGAAGTTGAAGATAGAAATCGCGCGGAGCGCATGGCCTCGTATATCGGCGGCCCGTGGCAATTTTCGAAAAAGAAAAAAAGAAGGAGAAGTCGCTCGTCGTTGGTCCCGTTTTTCGAAAACGTAGACGCCACACGATCGCCGTATACCGGGAAGATCTCGAACAACAGCGGTTATCCTACTTTCTTATTGATAGAAATCGACGAGATGAAAGCGTGATGCTGCGTGCAAACTACGTTGGATTTCGTTGCAACCTCTGCCTATCTAATTCACGCAAACTTATCAAGTCGCCGTGTCGTGAGACTCGCATGTGCGCGAATATCAACGGTGGTAGAATAGAAACCTTTCGTTTGCAACAAATCATTCGAGAAAAAGAAACTTCATTGAACTCAAACGCGACCCTTCGGGTCAAAAAACCAATTCGCTGCGAAGTTTTGCTGGTTACAAGCTTGAAACCAGTTTCACTTTCAAATTTAGAACAGAACTCGAAGGGTTTGAAGGATTTTTTTCCCCCTCTTACGTGAATTTTTCGTCGCGAACTTCAATTTCTTTCTTTCCTTTCTCTTGTCACAGGCTTCCAAATCTCGACAAACCTCGATCTCGTTGATTTGGATAAAAGTAGTTCCAGTGAAAGTTTGCAAATGATCGAGTTTTGTTCGAAATTTGAAAGTGAAGGTCGTAGTATAAATAAAGGAAGAATAATGGAGCGCAGTCAAAGTAGAATGGGACTGGATAGAGTCAGACAGAACGTAGGAGTAGTGCAATCGAGTAAAATAGTGTATGTTTGTGTGAGAGAGAGAGTAGAGTACAGTGAAATTAAGTAGGTAGTAATGAAATTAAATAAAAGTTTAAGTCGAGAGACCAAGGTTTTCGCAAAATGAAAAATGAATCGATGAAGAGTAAAGTGAAAGTAAAGGGGATTAGAACGGCGCAGAGACAAGAATGAAACGAAAATAAATAAATGCTGAAGTTAAATTAAATAGAGTGGAGTAGTTTGAATGAAATATAATGGGATCAGGTGGAACGTAAAGTAAAATGACTCGAAAGAATGAAGCAGAAAATGAAGTGAAATAGGGCAGACTGGGGCAGACAGTGAAACAACACAGGGGTACAAGTAGTGGGCGTAATAGAGTTAAGTGGAGAGCAAGGGAAAGTATGGTTGTTGAGTACAAGCAAGATGAAATAAAACCTAATAAAATGGGAAGTGTAAGGTTAATGAAAACGAGAGTATGGTAGAAGAGTAACTAAGGCAATGAAATCAAAAATGAAGTACAATGGAGCGAAATTAATAAACAAAGTAGAACGTGTCAGTATACACACAGACCATACACGTATTGAGATACACATTATAGACTACGTCACGTGACACTAGGGATAAACATTTATTATATTCGATTAAATATAACTACGATATACGAATATGGAACATGAAATAAATTGTACGATGAAATTTTCACGAGACGAAATTCAATTACACTAGAGCAAGCTGAGAAAGGATGAATTGGAGGTAAGTTAATGTATAAGAAGCTAAGTTTCAACAGACTAGGGACAGATATATGGCATAACTTGTTAACAGCAATCAAACGATGAAATTCAACCGCGTCAAAGTTCATTGAAAGAAAATTGGTTGAGAATAATATAGAACGTGAAATGTGTTAACGTGAGCAGCTACATTGATGAAGCTCAAGTAATGATTCATTGATATATGATGCAAAGCAACTTGTACAGTTAATTTTCAACAAAGTAAAATTTAATATAGATACAATCTGTAAAGATAACATTGAACGATATCGTGATATTTTCAGCAATCTTTTTGGCCATATTCGGAGGGATGGGCATTACGGCTGGTGCTCATAGACTGTGGGCCCACAGAACTTACAAAGCGAAATGGCCAATGCGTTTCATGCTGATGATCATGCAGACAATTGCTTTCCAGGTAAAATTCTCTTTTCTAGATCTACTATCACGGAAGCGAATTTTTTTTATTAGATTTTTCTTTTATTGAAAGGTCTACCTTTTAAAAGAGAAACCATTGTTATAATATATATATATTTTTCTTTTATTGAAAGGTCTACTTTTCAAGAGAGAAACCATTGTTATAATATATATATATTTATTTATAATTTATATATATTTATATTATTATTTATTATAATATTTATTTATATATTTATATATTTATAATATATATAATATATATAATATATATATATTTATTTGTAATTGCATAAATATTCCACATGTTCTATATTGAAATGATTTCGTCACACAACCGTTCGAGTATTAATTTATATAAAAATTCTCATAGATTTCGATAATTAGTTCCAATTTCCCTTCGTTTACAATTTTTCGCAAATCTTATCAGATAGATTTCCGAAAGGTAATTTTAGAATACGAAGTGTTAGATTCCTCCAAGTAATCCAAGAGAACAATCACATTCTCTTCGCGACACGGCCCGGCAAGTTGCTTGCTAACGTCACCAGAAAGCAGAACGCTCTGAAAAAGGTCACGTTGCTTCGCAGAATCACATTTACGAGTGGGTAAGAGATCACAGAGTTCATCATAAATTCACGGACAGCGACGCGGATCCGCATAACGCAAAGCGAGGATTCTTCTTCTCGCACATTGGCTGGCTTCTGCTCCGAAAGCATCCGGATGTGTTGAGAAAGGGTGCCACCGTTGACATGACCGATTTGGAGAGAGATCCCATCGTTCTTTGGCAGAAAAAGTAAGAACTGATTGCACTCTTTTTTTTATAAATAATAGTTTTTAGTAGAAATTTGAAGGTAGGAACAATTTCGAACTACAAGCAAGAATAATTTTATTTAAATCGAGTGTCGTTATTGGTAAAATGGAGAATACAGCTGCACGAAGAAAGTGAAGTTCACATTTTACTTCACTTTCAAAGACAGCAGAAGTTCACGTTTTATGTCACTTTCTAATTTTTTTTTTTTTTTTCTTCCCCCAAACGTTCAATGTAATTTCACATACACTCTTAATTGTAAAAGAAACGCGCGTTTCAGAAGTTATTTACAATGTAAGAAAGATTTGTCAGCATGAAAGAATTAAATTAGAACGCACTTTCCATTCCAATATATCTCCATAATAGAAGTAATAACAAAATACAAAATACAAACTACAAAACAGCATGGAATATCGTAATTGAACACAAGTTCGAAGCAGCGTGTAGCAAACACCATTTACCATTGAAAGTTGCTCTTGACGAGTGTGTCAGTAACCCGAATGAAAGGTATTTACAACGCTGGATGTATCTTGAACACCTTTCTCTTTGACTTTGTTCTTCAGGTTGTACATCATACTGGTGCCACTCTTCTGCTTCATACTTCCTGTCTGGGTACCCTGTTATTTCTGGAACGAGACGTTATACTATTCCTGGTACAGCACTCTGTTCAGATACGCGTTTTCCTTGAACGGAACGTGGCTAGTGAACTCTGCTGCTCATATATGGGGCTATAAACCCTATGACAAGTAAGCGATTGTTTTTCTCTTTAAACGACAGACAAAAAGTAATAATCCTTACGTGAAGTTTCGACTTTAGATTAACAATTGAAGTCTGTGTTTAATTTATGTAAGAAATTAAATTGTTATTTATTGGCATATAACAGGGCTCGATTTGCTCTAGAGAATCATACGAATAACGATAATTAATAGTAATTGCTGGTCCAAAATTAAATATTATTAAACTCGAGGATAAAGGGTATGTTGCTTTAGATATTTCATATGCAGTTGAAACAATGATTCACGATTTGTCCGGAATGGTATATTCCTGTAAATAATATTTATAAACATAATCAGACAGGATCGTACAAATTTCCAGTGTCCATTATTAAAAATACAGTTTGCGAATAATCGAAGTAGGCAAAAGCACAATTTTATAGATTTTTCGATTTTTATAGAAGCATATTTCTCGAATTTCAGGAACATCGGCCCGACTGAGAACAAAAGCGTGGCGATAATTGCGTTCGGCGAGGGATGGCACAATTACCACCATGTGTTCCCGTGGGACTACAAAGCCGCCGAATTCGGCGACTACAACATGAACATCACGACCGCGTTGATCGACTTCTGTGGCCGATTGGGACTGGCGTACGACATGAAAACTGTCCCGGTTGACGTGATCAAAAGACGAGCGAAAAGAACCGGCGACGGAACGAGGTATTTAACTTGTCGTCAACGTTATCATTTTTTTAAAACACTTCTCCGATGGGAGTTTGATTCTCTTTTACACGTAAAAGTATTTTTAATACAATGAACGAATTTTTAATATAATAACACACGAACGAAAATTAAAAGTAAGAGTTTCCGAAATTTTGAAATATTGAAATATTTTTCATCTGTTAAATCGTTTGAGGCGAACATGATGTTAAGAAACAGCCATCGAAAGTTCTTGGAAAAGGAAAGAGGAGGAGGAAATTGAATATGTTTCCAGTAAAATTATAACAAAGATTCGTGTTTCATGCTGCTACAAAAAGCATCCCTATCTTTCAAAAGATAGTCATTCGTGGAATCTTCAGATCTGAAATGATTTCGATGTTCAGGTATGGCGGAAACGAGGATTCTCAGAGTCACGGTGATCACCACAATCACGAGGACATGAAATGGGGCTGGGGCGACGTGGATATGAAGCCGGAGGAAATCCAGGAGGTGCACATCATCAACAAGAGCGATTAATCGATCGATCGTTCACGCTAGATATCATGGAAATCGGGTTCGCATGGATGGTCGCTAATTGCGAGGCGATCAATCGTTCACAACGTCAATTAAATATCCATTATACATCCTATTGGTGGTTTGTGGTTATCCGTGAAGGGTCGGCTGTCTGATCGAAATTGTCTCGCTCTGTTAGAAACAAGTCGGCAGGCTTGAGAGAATTAAAACTGAAGCAAAGAAAGAATTGAAAAAACTATAAACCGTAAGAAGAGGAAGTGGATTAAACTGCAGATTTTTACTAGAAGAATGAATAATAAAACAGCCAAGATATGTTTTATTATAATTTCCAGATAAATAACAGTACTATTTTTGATGGATAATTAATCAACATTACTAGAAAAATGAATAATAAAACAGTCAAGATATGTTGTAATTTCCAGATAAATAACAGTACTATTTTAAATGGATAATTAATCAACTTTACTAGAAAAGTGAATAATAAAACAGCCAAGATATGTTACAATTTCCAGATAAATAACAGTACTATTTTAGATGGATAATTAATCAATTTTACTAGAAAAATGAATAATAAAGCAGCCAAGATATGTTACAATTTCCAGATAAATAACAGTACTATTTTAAATGGATAATTAATCAACGATTTAAAATTTCTTTAAACTCTGTTTTCTTAAATGTGTCTTAAATGAGTTTCCGTAGAAATTCGCAGTTTAAAAGGGTGAAGGAAAAGGGGAGAGAGGGTATCTTACGAATTTTCTGGCAGCAGTCGACTCTTCACTCGCGGTATCGGATTCAATTCGTGGCCTTCGCGATCGTCGCGAGCCTTTTACTTTTTCGTATTCTCGAGCGTATGAACAGTGTCGATCGATTAGCCTCACCGGCTCAACGTTTGTGTACGAAATCATATACGCTGGTGGATTGTGATGTGTATCGAGCGACGTAAATTTTTATCGTAACCAAAGCAACTAAGGTAACTTGTATATCGATTGATCGACTGTAGTTCTTGGATCCACAGATGGACGAGGCACATCTACGCGCTGGTGATCGAATCTTGGCGATCGTTGAGCCTGGGATCATGCGAAAATTTCTCTTCTCTTCTCGTCCAGCTGTGATAAGTGGAACGAGACTGTCAGAGACTGGCACGACGCTCGTTTGTTGTTTCTCTCTCTGCGTCTTTCCGCTTGTAAACGCGTTGCTATATATATATATAAAATTCCTGTCGCGAATGGTAGACACCATATACGTGTAATAGAAGAACGTGATTGATTGTGTGTCGTGCTGTATGATGCGTGATTGTTCGTCGTAAATAGACTGCGCATCTTTGTGCAGATTTATATATTCTCGCATATAAATGCGATTAAAGAAAAAAAAGAAAAATCGATGAAGATGGCAATGATAATATAGTATGTTACTTTGGTTATTTTGCGTATTTGCGTGCGAAAATTTCACACTTAATAGGAATCCTGAATCTTGTAATGACACCTGATCGAAAATTCAATTTTTGCACAATACACGCTGATCGTTTGCTAGAGAAATCGTAGCGTTCATATATCTGAATTTAGAAATACGGTAGATAGGATCCACTCTGCGCATGAAAGATTTTTAACTATGGTAATTCCTCAAGGATCAGACACGCACACTCCTCGTAAAGCTACGAAGTCACAGTCGAGATTTCCATTAGAACTTAACGGGGACTAAAATATTTCAGTTATTCTAATCAAGATGTCAAGACGTCGAGAATCAAGAATAATTAAAAGAAAAAAAAGATCACTAATGTTTTTTTAAAATAAAATCACGTACAATATACGCGCACATGTTACGCACAGGATCATCGAAGATCTACAGAATACGTACAAGTATTTAAAGCAAAAATGTCTTTACGGATATTAACGAATTTTCTAGTTAAACGTTCGCCAATTCTCAAATATTTTATATATTTTCAGTTACATGAATGAAAGCAAAGATCAAAGAAAATATATATAATTACCACGTGTAATCATAGTCTGATTATAATCGTGATAACAACAAGAAACATCTCTACTTTAACTTAAAACAAAAACTTTAACTTTAACTTTAACTAAAAAAAAAATTCTTTGAATATTTGAAATTTGTTAAAAAAAAATAAAAAGAACTTGTCGCTGGCTAATCGTAAGGTGAACAATTTTCAACAGTCAAGAAAATATTATTCAGAAACTGTTCGATCTCGTGTCAGTGCTTGAATTCGCGAAAGTCACGCGAAAGAGAATAATGATCCCAGGCGTCGTCGACGATTCGACGAGAAAAAGAATGATCGAACGACGAAACGTAAGGACTCGGGCTCGATGTTCGTTCTGCCGTAAATTGTCTTCCGTAAATTGTCCACTGAAGAAATCGGGCCCGAGTCGTTGGCGATCGTTCGCGTCGTAGCGACCGAAATCGTCAATTAAACGAGAAACATTTACAATTAAAAGATCGTGTGAAGTGGATCAATTCACGGACAGACGTTGTACACCTCGACAATCGTTTCCTCGTGGAAGAAGACGTACGTGTGTGTAGAAGTAGTGATCAAGTGCGACAATCTTTAACATCGACGATTTGCCTTAAGAATCTTAATTGTCTTGGACGTTCTTAATTCGTCGGAGACACGAATTAATTAATTCGTCCTGTCGCGCGAATCCACTGGACTGTAGAATCTGTTAAGAAGAACCACGGTTGTGCGTAGAGCCGAATGTTATTGCAGAGAATTGGCTCGCCAAGTTGAAATTACACGCGTAAGATACTATTTCCCGCTCTGTTGCTACGATTCCTGAGGAATTTCGAAAATCCTTCGAAACTTCTTTTTCAACTTTTGTTCCGTGCGTATCTCGAGTCGTTCTCGACCAGAAGAATCGTGTTCTTCTATTATTACATTAAGGAAGAGGATAGTAGTAAAGTTTGAGAAAAGGAGGATCTCTTTGTTGAGAGAGAGAGAGAGAGAGAGAGAGAGAGAGAGAGAGAGAGAGAGAGAGAGAGAGAAATTGGGCAGGAGAACTTCCAAGACCGTGATCTCAGGGTTAAACTTGATTCCTTACACTTGATTTTGTATATCGATCTAGCGCAATGCGTTTCCGGAACTTTGATCGTTGAATCGAACGATGATGAGTATATATATATATATACGAAATCGTGTTTCCTCTGTTCGACGTGTGTTATTTATTTATTGTCGAGAATACGAAAATTTGTTTGCTAATTTATACGCTGTAATTTATGCGCTGTTAAAATTCTCTTATTGTAAAATTATCTTTATAATAGCGGTGAAATGACTATAATATAGTAAACGCATAAATTATTTCTTCCAAGTGTCTTCGAATTTCCTACAACGGGACTTTGTCGTTCTAGTGATCGCACAACTATCGCCGGCACCTCTAAACGCGTTTACTATTAATTAATTAATCGCGAGCGTGCCTGGACTTTCGTAAACGTTCTTCTCTAACAAGACGGGACCGTCAAAAGACTAGAGATCGATGGAGTATATATATTTATTCGCGCGATGAAGGAAAATAGCTTTCCTCTGATTCTCAAATATTACGTATACCTATATAGTAGCGTTTGAAAATTGCGTTTTACGTACAAAGCATATTTATATACCTTATGTTATGCAGGATGCTATCAATGTTCGATGATTTAAATATTATTTTTTTGAAAAACCACTGTATTTGTTTCTTTCACTATACCTGGTGCGTTACGATAAAAGAGAAGTTATTACGTTGGACAATTTTTTTCACTAGAAGAATTTAATTCTGAAAAATGAATCATTTTCACGCGAGTGTACGTTAAATATAATTCCTAACAAGTTTATTATTCGATAATAATTACTATTCGTCTAGAAATAATTTCTTCGTGAAAATGAGAAAAATTCTTTACGTTTAGAATGGCGAAAAAAGGAGAAACGCTTTGATCGTTTACATATTTTATTTGATTGTTTCGTATGTAAAGGGCAGTTTTCAACAGATAGTCGTAAGAAAGGAGAAGTAGGAGGCTAATCAAAGATGGAAAAAGTTTGAAGATCTCGCGGAAGAATACTTGTGAGTTTAGAGCATTGTTCGACTTGCAAATATCGTCCATATCAATGAAGACAGCGAGAAAGAGAAAAACTTGAGAGAAAGTTGAAAAACGTAAGGGATACAAGCATGCAATTAATTACAAACGACAGAAAAACACCGTCGTTTTCGTTGCATATATCAGTTTTACTATGGACAATATTGACAATTTTCATTGTATTTATAAATAAATTATTGTCACCTGTATAACCTGTTTAGTATCGAAAATTTAAAATCCTTTTACGCTGTATTTCTACAACAGTTCACCTGTCAATCCAACATACATTAATTTGTAACCACATAAGTGTAAAACAATTTCCATAAAATTAAAAGAGAAATTATAAAAGTTTTTATACTCGTAATTACCATGTATAATTGCACGTAACTTTTTTGCTTGTAAATTCTTTTCATATCAGTTTATACCTTGTGAAACAATTTGATCGAACTATAACATGAATATTTATTTCAAATTGATAATAAAAAAAACATTTCTCGACGATGTCATTTAATTTATGAAAACGATGATGTTATTTAAAAGTGGAGCTTATTAAATTTATTAACACGCTTGTTGAATTTGTTTAGGGATCACCTTCGTCGGAAAAAATTCTCCAAGCAGCAAGAAACTTTTCATAACGCGGACAAGGTCGCCAGTTCACCTAGTGTGATTCGTAATTCAACCAAGTGTTCACGTTGATTTTAATTAAGAGCAAGATCTAGTTAAGAAGGTTTGGAGCAACTTGTTTTTCACAGTTTCGCTGTACTCGGTGTACGAACGAGGAAGAGCAGAAAAAAATTGATGAAAATTACGAGTTCCGTTCAAAGTTGCTGTTATCGACAGTGGAAATCGCCGGCAACTTCCTGTTGATCGTCGTGAAGAAGGCGTTCGCTGAGAAATCAAAGGTAATTGGAAAGCTTAATTAATTGCTTGATGGCCGATTAAATGCTTAATTGTTCCTCAGTCGCCTATGATTCAGAGGACAAAGGCGGATGAAAGTTCGTTCTCTTTCTTTAATTCGAGTAATTTAATTTGACGAACGTGACGGGGGCAGGTGTTCCTCTTTTGTTAATTATTTGTAAAAGGTAATTATTGGAGAACTTTCACTTCAGAAGAAATAACGACTTTTTTAAGAAAATACATATTTTATGTTTGTTTTTTTGTTTTATTGAAATTCTAATTAATCATACTTGAAGATCCAAATTACATACGACGGTCATATCTCTTAGAAAAATGAGAGAAGAAATTTTCAAAAAGTAGTAAGAGAACGATATTAAGAGATTTCAATTCTTTTAAATTGAAAGATTTCCTTGAATAATGAGTAAAATTGAATGAAAGTAACATTGGAAGTTTAGATGAAGAATTTGTAATAAAAGAAACGTTCATCGAATATCGCGAATAACTGTAAGAAGAATGAATAAGACATCACATAGAAATAACTTGGAAAGTTTACATTTATACTAGACCTATCAGAGTGGCATTCTTCGAGCGGTTTATCATAAAATATGTATATAAATTAAAACTTATGTGTCCTTTATTTTACTCGAAACTTTTTCCTATTCTCTGCACTTCCATTTCTCTGTTGCAAGTTCTATCTTGTATACGTATTATATATTCAACGAGGCAAACACGTCCTGTGAATACCAATCGCACAAACGAAAGCGTGACGAATTCTCCATAGAATAGTACGCTTAAACCAGTATTAAAACTGAATTCGAAGGACACGAGCTACAAGAGGGACACGGTATATAATAAATTCCACGCAGTAAACTTCTCTCTATGTCGTCTCATTTAATCTGCATCGAGTTCTCAACAACTCCGCTTGTCCATTTTCTCGTGTGCACTTCGATATCTATATACTATCTATAAATAATAATATTTTTACTTTATAGATCACGTGAACCACGAAGCCTTACCATGAACGACGTGCATGTGAATTCTTTATCGATACAAACTGTCTAGCTTATCGAATCTTCAACGATAACTTTCGCAGAGCAAAACAAAGATTAATCTCTCTGATTAAGGAAGAAATTGAACTCTATAAAAGCGAAGATCACTTTTGCAAGGTGATCGATCGACATCGATGGAAGCGATTTCGATCTCGAAGCGTTGTATCGTTGTTCGTTTAACCTAACCGGGCCGATCATTATTCAATCTCACGGATTATGTACTTGTAGAACATAGAAGGAGAATAGAGACAGAGAGAATTAATTCAATGAATGTGGTGAATTCGTTCATAACAGTATTGTCGATTTACAATTAGTCGCGTCAGTGTTGTGGAGGCGTTTGATCATCAGTGTGTTTCCTTTAAACACGTGTGTCCCAGTGTTCTGGCCTGGTTTATCAGTTTCGCAGTATCAACTGATCGATCGTGTTCATTGTACGTACTTCGATGTTTGCATCAATCGTCATCGTTTCAGAGTGTCGAAATACGATTTGATAAATGTTAATGGGAAATCTGAAGGAAAGTGTTAATAGTTTGTTGATGTAGAGAAATACATTGTGAAGTTGATTTTAAATAAGATTTCAATGAAGCTTCATTAAAATGAGATTGAACAATTCATTGAAATAAGAATTGAAATTAAAGTCAGAATTAAATTGCACAGTCGTAATATTTTGGTGAGCATTAGAGTAGATTTGAGATTATAAAGGGAATATTAATTATTTGTGAAAAGTAAAGAAATATGTTCTGAAATTGGTTTTAAATGAGATGGGATCGAATAAAATTGAAATGAAACATTTCAATAAAACGGGGAAATGAAAATTGAATGAACAAACGATTCATCTTTATTGTGTTCAATGTTACATTGTGAATTGGATTTTAATAGCAATTAATTATTAATTAAACTAAACTACTGATATAATTTCGAATAGTTCGTAAAACCATTTAAAAAATGATTCCATTATTAATTAAAAATAATATTTCTCATAGGCGCTGAAAGATTTATATCCAATCTATCGGTAAAAATAGAAAAAAAAGACATTAAATCCTAACAAAATTTATAGAAATAATCATTTTACAATGACGACAAACAATACATTGACATCAGTAAACACTTTTCTCTTTCTCAAATTTCGTCGCCCTAGAATTCCAAATTTCAAAACTCCCGCGTAAATTTTTGTCTTTCGTATCTCTTTAAAGAATGCACTTTTGACGTTCAATATATGCACAATAAATACAATACAAATTGTTTTTACGACACCTTCTTGCTACATTGCAAAAAAAAAAAAAAGAAATGACAGACTCGAGATGTTTCAGGTGAAATTCAAATTCAATTAGATCGAGTCCTCCGCGTCGCATGCGCGCTGAATGGCGACAAAGGTGTCGAAACGTAGCTCTGGGGGCGCTGGTTACCGTGCTGAAGCGTTCCCCACGAGTAAAACACGAGTACAACCAGGAACTGGCCTTCTTTGCTTCACCTGCAGCATCTGTTTCATTTTGAGCATAATCTGTACATGCTTGGCCACGCTGTTGGTACTAATCGATCAGAAAGTCGAGGCCGCCAACTATCATTCCTGTGAGTTAAGTTTTCTTTTTTTTGTGTATTGTTGATTCTCGCTTGTAGACAGATCCTCGTGACTATGGCGCGGGAAATTCAACATTCTCTCTACGTTTCTAGTATAATACCGAAACAAATATGACAGCGTCGTAACATTATTTAACTGAATTAAATTTGTCTGTCGATTCTTTTGGAATCGTGGCGGATGTATTTTGATCCTGTTTTTCTCTTTCTTTTTTTTTTTTAACGATCGTGCGTTATCTATACTTCAAGTCCGATTACTGTAATTGAACTATGGATTTTTATGCGAAATTATGGGGAATTTAAGAACGCAAGAATACGTAAAAATATATTTACAATTTTCTATTTGAATCCCAGTTTTTGAACTATCCTCATAAAAAAAAAGAAGGTAAATAAAATTGCAGAAGCAGCCACAGAGTCTAACTATAATATATCATTTCTTATACATTTTTCTTGACTAAAAGTCTCTAAGTTTCTTCGCGTGTGTACAATACTTTTACAATATTTCTAAAGTGACTTTGCTTTCACATGAATTTTGTTTCCTTCTGTTGGTTGTTTTAGCCATTGTAAGTAGCATCAGTGAGTCAGTAGATCACGTTCACCGGCATTTAACCTGTCCTTATCCACCGCCAACAACTTTTTGGAATCCATCACCAACATCAGTCTCAATTACCAAATGGATTACATAATCTCATTTCATTGACTATTGTCTTGAAACTGCACAAATGGCACTGGGCATAAAGTGTTCATTTACATTCACCAATAGAATATTTCCAAAGATTGCTTCTTATCAAAACTGTGCATTTCAACGTTGTTCCACTGGTATCTTCTACTTAATACTGTCGTATAGATAATTTATCGAAATACCTATGGAACGGAGAATAACATCTTTATCAGTAGACTGCGGATTTTTATGCATTCTGATATTTTTATGAATTTTAACTGAATTCATAAAATGACGTAAGTAAATTTATGCTATAATTAAATGAATTCATCTATTCATCTTGATATTATGTAATGAGGATACTATAGTATTCTCATTGTTTCATGTACCAATTGTAAGTATCACAATACTTTGTTATGAACACTTTATACATCATGGTGGGCCTTTGACTTTCCTACAAACGCATAAAGAATTCACAGTCTGCTAGTAATTAGTATTTGAGACTAATAATTAGTTTACTGCAGATTTTTGTGCATTTTCAAATACTCATGAGTATTACTAAAGAAATAGGACAGAAACTCGCTGTATACTTTGAATACTTTTGTATATACCTCTGCATATTATTTACATTCTTGTGCTTAATATTTTTAAGCTTTCCACGAATGCAGAAAAATCCTCCAGTCTAGTTACGAAAAATTTCGAAAGAGTATCAGTGAACCTTTCAGCGAAGCAAATTTTATTCGTTTTTTTTTCTTTTTTAGTATTGACCACGATGAACACGGAATCGGTGCTCAAGTTGTCGTTCCGGTTGCCAAAGGAAGTGAAACCGCTGCACTACGACGTGTATTTGCATCCAGATCTCGAGAAGGGTACGTTTCAAGGTAAAGTCACGATCCTGATCGATGTGCTCGATCGAAGGAGTTACATAGCGCTTCATCAAAAGGACCTGAACATCACGTCCACCGCGCTCAACACGTACGACCGCGAAGAGAACTTTGAGTTCGAGCTGTTGGATCTGATACAAATACCAAAGTATGAGATGTTCGTGGTCCCGACGAAGAACGAACTTCACACGGGATTATACAACTTGAGTTTTGAATTTAACGGCGCGCTGCAGCCTGACAAAATTGTTGGATTTTACTCGAGTAAATATAAAGACACGCAAAACAGAACCAGGCGAGTATTATATATCTCTCAAATTACTTTAATTTAGCATTTAACTTTCATTTAATTTTGAACTGTTCTTGTTTTAGATAATTATTAGGAGGGGAATGCGTTGATTTCTTGTTTCAATTTTATGAACAAAGATTCTTCTTAGACTTTAGAAGCTTTTTTCTTCTATAGAATGTAAATGTTGAGGTGAAAAAATTTGAGAATCGCAGGAATATTATTATTTCTAAACAATAATAATAATTTCTAATAATACAAGATTAATCTCTTTAATTATATAAGCTTATAATTTCTAATTTCTCGTAGTATATCGTTTTAAACTATTTCTCGAACACTTAATGACAAATTTTATTGACATTTATTGACAAATTAATAATATATAATTTATTAATTTATTTTATAATAAATAGTTTCAATGATTAAAAACTTGAGTAACAGTGGAATTAATTGAGATTATAGATAAAAACGATGCAATTTGTTTCAGATTTTTATTATTTATATAGTTCTATTGACTTTGTGAATTTTTATTTGCAGATATATTGCAACTTCGAAGTTTGAACCGACTTACGCTCGGAGAGCGTATCCCTGTTTCGACGAGCCAGCATTCAAAGCAGAGTTTACAGTGAAGCTGGTTCATCCTATTGGAGATAACTATGGTGCCTTATCCAACATGAACGCAGAGGTAACAATACAAATAATGAAATTCGTTAAACCAGGTTTAGGTTCACGTCCATTGATTTCCTTTGAGATATTTATATTTTCTCGAGGAAATGAGTAATCTTTCGTCTGTTAATAATTTATTATACGTTTTAGTGTACGCAAATAAATCAACCATCGCCAGGACTGACAACGGTGACATTCGCGAAAAGCGTGCCAATGTCGACGTACTTGTCCTGCTTCATAGTCAGCGATTTTATTCCTTTAACACAAATGGCAAAGGGACTGAATGGCCGGCAATTTCCGGTTAGTGTGTACACCACGAGAACTCAACAAGACAAGGCCACATTTGCTCTTGATATTGGCGTGAAAATCATCGAATATTATATTGATCTGTTTCGCATTGATTATCCCTTGCCAAAGCTTGGTGAGTTGTGCTAACGTCGAATGTCAAGTCCGCTTGAATTTCGCAATTTTTTTCTCACTAGATTTAAGAATAAAAGAAATGCTAAAGGTTCAAATAATAGCAAGGGCAAGGTTTCGAACTTGACGTTAAAGTCACGATTAGAAATTCAGCGTTAAATGTAACTTAAAAGTAACAATTTATTGCGATGTTTGACGAATCCGGAAAACAGTTATGAATTAATTGTTACAAAAACTTGGAAATTCTCGAAATCAACAGACATGGCGGTCATCCCCGATTTTGTGTCTGGCGCGATGGAGAACTGGGGCTTGGTTACGTACAGAGAGGCAAGATTATTGTACGATAAGAAAACTGATTCCAGCGCAAAAGGTTACGACGTCGTTACAGTTGTCAGTCACGAATTTGCACACATGTGGTTTGGAAATCTAGGTGTGTAAAATTATTTTCTTAAAAGTTTTTTCTAAAAAATGAATAGTACTATATTACTGTACTTTATTTCAGTCACTATGGCTTGGTGGAATGACTTATGGCTGAACGAAGGTTTTGCTTCTTTTATGCAGTATAAGAGCGCAGACGAGATTCTTCCTGATTGGGGACTGGTTAGTTACTAATTCTTTTTTTTTCACAAGAAATAACTCTAAAAATTCTCTAATTACATTTCATTGAAAGTTTTATTTAAAAAATTTCATTAAAAATTTGTATTTTACTTCTGTTTTCAGAACAGAAAAATTTTCAAAAAAAAAAAAATTGATTTCATTTAAAGCAGATTCGAATAATAATTGTACAATTATTTTCTAGATGGATCTATTCTTAATCGAACAAATGCATTCTGTTTTCGTAATCGACGCGAAACTGAGCTCTCATCCTATTGTGCAAACTGTTAGCAATCCCGACCAGATCACTGCGATATTCGATGAAATATCATACAAAAAGGTAACTTTACTGATAATAGAAAAAGTTAATAGATTTCTATGTTCTATATTTTATATGTACATTTTTAATTTATTTTTAAGGGATGCTCTGTAATTAGAATGATGGAGAATTTCATAAAACCAGAAGTCTTCTACGGTGCTATCTCCTCTTATTTAAATAAATTTATGTATCATAACGCAGAGACTGCTGACCTTTTCAAAATATTACAAGAATCATCACCGGATAATTTGAACGTGACAGCCATAATGGACACGTGGACAAGACAAAAAGGATTTCCAGTTGTAAACGTGAAAAAGTCTGGGAATAAATACGTGCTGACGCAGAAACGATTTTTGGCCAATCCTGACGCTCATTTTTATCCTTCGAAATCCAAATACGGGTAATATAATAAAATAAAAAAAAAGAATAGAGAAAGATTAATTCAAAAAAAGATTTACAACTAACTTGAATTAATTTCTGGGAATTTTAATACTATGTAATTTGTTTTTAGATACAAGTGGACTATTCCTATCACTTATATCACGAACAATACATCTAAACCTACTCTTGTATGGTTCGACAAAGACGCCAAAGATTGTAAATATTAGTTCACATCTAATATCAGTAGTTTTTAGAATAATTTTAGAATAATTTTTATAGTATTAGATTGTTTATGCAAATTCATATCTTTGTGTCAGCGTAATGAGATCTAGAACTTATATTTTATATTTCCATAAATGCATAAAAATCTAGTACTTCTAATGATCGATTTAGATACTCCTTTATTCTACGAGTTTCATTTTTTTTTTTTTTTTCGTTAATAATTTTACATTATTAAATGAATCGAATTGATACAAATACAAATTTTACAGTGGTAATTGAATTCGAAGAACCAGTTGACTGGATCAAGTTCAACGCAGATGAAGTTGGATATTATCGTGTTAATTACGAGCCAACCGAGTGGAATATTCTTTATAATATTCTTCAACATCAGCATAAGGTAAATTTCCATGTCTTCTTGTCCTCTTGACGAGGCAACAATTAAATAACTGTTGAATTTTTAGACATTGTCAGTGTCTGACAGAGTACATCTCCTAGATGATGTGTTCAGTTTAGCTAGCGCTAGTGAACTTGATTATGAAATAGCTATGAATATGACCACATACCTAAAACAAGAAAAACACGCTATTCCATGGAGCGTGGCTACCTCAAAATTAACAGCCATCGACACCTTGCTGTCTTCGACTATTTCCTCGTCCAAATTCAAGGTAATCTAATTTCACTTTAAATTAAGCTTCTAGTCTTACTTTAACTCTATATTTAAGTTATACGTAGCTTTCTCTATGTAAGTTATATTTAAATTTTTTAATTTTATAGCAAATTTTTTGAAGTATGATTCATGATTTCAATGAATTACAACTACATAGTAAATTATTTCTGCAGAAATACGTGAGAGATTTGGTAGACGACGTGTATCATGATGTAGGATGGCATGTGAGCGACACTGATGATCGTATTTCTTTGTACGTAAAGATTCTTCATTCTGATATAGATAATTATTATTTTTTGGTATTTCTAATTTTATCATTACGTTATAGGAGGCTTCGAACAACAGTCTTGCGATTAGCTTGTTTCGTGGAGCACGCGGAATGTCTTAAAGAAGTTGGAGAATTATTTAAGAACTGGATCCAAGATCCCAACGACGTTCGACCGCATCCTGATATTCGTGATCACGTCTATTATTACGGTGAGTAACAATTCGTTTGCGTTTCACAAAAGATTACAGTAGAACATCATTGGTTCAAAATTAGGAGTCATATAATAAAAGTCCATTCCCCCTATTAGTAATTTTTCATTTATATAATAGAAATTCAGGTTGAAATAAATGGAGTTCTACTCTATACTTGAAATTGAAATACATTTACATAAGTATCGTTACTGTTTCAGGTATGCATCATGCTGGCAATGAAGCAATGTGGAGAATCATGTTCAAAAAATTCACAGCCGAGACTGATTCGACAGAGAAGCTAAAGTTAATGCGCGGCCTCGCTGCGATACGATCCACTTGGATTCTAAACATGTACGTTGCTCAATTCTTATAGATAGAGAAAATAATTTAGATGCAAACATATTAAAATATATTGAACAAACGTGGTTAAAGATGAATGCATTCTTTATTTACGATATGCTCTTTATTCACTGTGAAATGTTTTAGACATTTGGCAATTTTAAGCATCCAAAGGATCAATCTATAGAGTTTTACATTTTATTTTTTGTTTTTCACATTTTCTCCACAGGTTCATCACAGCAGCCACAGACGAGAACTACGTGCGCGCCCAGGACTTCTTAGAGTGTTTAATCGTTATTTCAACCAATCCTGTGGGAACACCGTTAGTTTGGGATTGGGTTCGTTCCAATTGGGAATTTCTAGTAAACAGATATACTTTGAACGATCGGTATCTCGGCTCACTGATCCCATCAATTACCAAAACGTTCGCCACCGAGACGAAATTAAACGAAATGGAAAGCTTCTTTGCCAAGTATCCCGACGCTGGTGCTGGCGCAATGAACCGCGCCAAAGCTTTAGAAACAGTATCAAATAACATAAAATGGCTGGCCAAGAATAGCCGCAACCTGGAAAGTTGGTTGAACTCTCACGTACAAAATAATTGAACAGGTAATTATTATTGTTGCATTTCGCGCGAGAAGCATTTAGAATTCTGTTTCAATCGACAGAATTTGGAAATAGAAAGGAAATTGTAATATCGCGAAGGCGCAAAGGAGAATAAAATGCAGGTTTATCTTTTATTTTTCATTTCTTTCACTTAATTTTTTTTTTTTTGAAAGAATTATTGAAGATTGTTATTTCTCGCAATCTTCAAGAATTTATTTCTGGTAAACTTAAAAGTTTTATAATATAAAAATTTACAATGTTGTAAAAGAGAAACATCAATGCAAGAATTTCTGCTGAAGGGACTAACAGTGCGATCGATTTCTAGAGGGATTCTTAAATATCATAATTTCGTTGAAAGTTTATCTCTAAGCAAACTCCAAGTTTTATACTATGAAAAATTATGTTATAGAAGAAGCAAATAAACACACTGAGGATTTCTTCTGAAGTTGATTCAATCTCAAAAGGCTGAAAATACAATACGATTGTTCCCGAGGAATTCTCGAAATTTTACAATATAAAAGATTTTGATACTGTACGAAGAATTTCCTCCGAGGGTAATGTAAATCTTTGTACACGTGTGCTACAGTACAACGATTTTTACACTTATTATAAGAAGCTACTGTCATTCTTTTCTAATAAATAAAACATTGTGAAGCAAACGAACTTCCTTGTCGCCACGTTGAATGAAATCGATGATACGTTCCGTTTTCCACGGATCAAAGGGTAATCAACAGGATGGATTGAACCAGTATAATTGTTTTTTCCCTCCCGGATCGGACAATTGGATCGACAACGTCTATTGGACAATCAAGATCAACGTTGTCAACAAAGATTAGCTGAACTTCAATTCGCCCCGTATGGCCGCAGTATTTCCACGTCTCGTGACTCTATAGAACATATTTTACCTTCGTCTGTCTTCTTCGACGGTTAACGGAATGACACACAAGCACGCTCTATATTTGTCAATGTCGTCAGTGCAGACTGAAAAGGGTAAGTATTAAAGTCGCTGCATAGAATGAAATGTTAGTTGAAATCTTTGTTAGAAATTGAGGATATAATATAATACAGAAATAATACAATTAACGGGGAATTATATTTTGAGTGATTTTTTTGTTTTATTAGATCTTTCTGTTCGAATTTTTCTGTGATTGTTTGCAAGATGTGTGGAAGAAGATATGAAGTTATTTGGATGATGCGAGATTTACCTAATTTCTATAACGCAAATCAATCAAGTTTGCAAAGATTCTTCTTTTTCTTCCTATAATTAAATAATTATTATATATATATATAAAACTACTAAAAGTGAATAGGAGCTTAAAATGATTCTTTATATATACAAAATCAGTTTCAGAACTGTTTTATGAAAGAAGAAATCATGATCATGTTATATGCTTAAGGTGATTATTTGCATAACATATTTTATTAAATATTTTATTAAATATATATATATTTATTTTTATTAAATATTTTATTAAACATATATTTATTTAATATATATATATATATATATATATTTAATACATATTTTATTAAACATATATTTATTTAATACATATTTTATTAAATATATATTTATTTAATACATATTTTATTAAATATATATTTATTTAATACATATTTTATTAAATATATATTTGCAATAATATGTTTTGTAATTTCTAGATTAATTTCAAAGTGACCAAACAGTGACAATAACAATCGACTCTCACAAAATTCACGGTATTTTATACAACATAGTGTGAACATAAAATTTTTGCGACGAGTTAACAAGTTCGAATACTTTCGTGAGCCTGTATACACAAAGTTCAGAAATTGGAATTCGATCAATTACTATTAGAATTCGCTTGGCGCAATCGTATCATGAAAATTGACGGTTAAATAAATAATTTAAGCCTCTTTGGATTCCTCGAGCGGCCGGTGATTGTTCGTGCACACACAACTAGCTATTTGTTCTTCCATATCATCGACTCCCGGAACACCGCAGGGATCTGATAATCTGTCAATTGATCTATCATTGACAAAACGAGCCGTACAAATTGATTCGTTGTACAAACGGAGAGAGACCGAAATTAAGCCTCCGTAAATATCGAAGCTCAATTACGCGATAGTAAGCTACGCAGGTTGTCTCTTTCGGAACGAAATCAACAAATCGAAGAGAAAGTTTGCTCGCAGAACTAACTAAATCTAATGCTCGTTCTATCTGAAAAGGTACGAAATGCATCGAAAATCCTTGGAAACGATCTTGGAATTTTGAAGTTCGACGATTCCGATGATAAATTCCATTTTTTCAGAAAGTTGTTCAGAACTGATAGAACTGCAAACGATAGGCGAAAGAAAGAAGTTTAGTTTTATAAAGAAAGACGAGGTAAGTTTTAAGCTTTTATGATTCACGAGCATTCTATCTTTTTATTGGAAGGTATAGAAATATAAAGAATTACATAGTTGAAAATTAAAGGATTATATGAAAGAATAGCACGAGATTCCAATGGAATCATTCAAGCCTATATTACTCTCGTGTTTATCTAAAAAGCTATTTTCGGAGTTATACATTCGCTGAATGAACGTGTCTTTAATTAGAGTACTAAATCGACATTGGCCAAGATAGAGAGTGGATTGGGGATAGATTTTAGCTGAGATTTATTCCGCTAGATATTTATAGACATAGGTTTTAATGTACGCTGTAATTAATACTGATATTTCAATAATTGATAGAGAATTGTGCTATCATTTAAACGAGAAACAAGTTTAAATTATACGCATAATTACCTGAATGTATTTTATAAAGAAGGCACATATTCTGTATTATAATTTATAATGTCATTATAATACAATTTATTGTATAAATGCTTATCTCTGAATCTTAATGATTCACATATTTCTATAGTGACAGGAAATTGAATTGTCTGGATCGATATTTATTTGCGCGACACAAATATTCTCGTTCTCGTGTAAAAGTAGTTGGTGGAACGAAAAACAGAAGGTGAAGTTTATCAGAATGTCAAAGTAAGATTCAGCTCCGATAACGAGGAAAAATATTCAATTAATCGTAGGACTATTTTTTCGTTCGCCGATCGACCGATTAAATTTTTGTCGAAACAGTTCAAATTTGCATAATGTTATTCCTGAACATCCGGGAAGCAAAAACTGAAACAACAGCTTTCAATTCGAATCTTTCTCTCGACACTTAATTACTAATCGATGAATTCAACGAGTACTAATCGTCGAGCAATACATTTTGACGAATGATCTTCTATTTTCTGCGTGCAAAGAAAATGGAGGAAATGATTTTTTTGAACGAACGAAATTTTCTTCCATTCTTATCATTTTAATTCATTCATGAATTAATTAATCATCGGATGGTAAATATTGGTAAATTTCTCAACATTACAGTAATTATACGAAAATAAACGAAGAAATTTCTTCGTTGCCTAATTACATTAGAAAAATAAAGGGGAATGAAAATCAACAGAATGAATCCAATCTAAGTGATTAAAAAAATTGAATTTTCAACTATGAAAATAAAATGAAGAATCTGACAAAACGATTGAACATAACAAGAGCTTCTATCAGATTCTTCATTTTATTTTCATAGTTGAAAATTCAATGTTTTAATCACTTAAATAACAAGAGCATATATATATATATACATGCTCTTGTTATTTTCAATCGTTTTCTATCAGATTCTTCATTTTATTTTCTTAATTGAAAATTCAATTTACATATATAAGGATGTATTTTTATCTATCAAATATTAATCATACTTAACATTAGAACTACCAAAGTGGTCAAAATGACTAATCTATAATTTTCTATGGAAATTTCACATATTCACAGCAGTGTATTTTATACTCGAGTGGCTCTTAGTAAAATATATTAATAGAAGCTTGTACCCTTTATATTCAGTTATTAACGTTTCTTTGTACCTTGCGCTTGAATTTCTATGCTATAAATATTATACTTTTTCGTCGGTAGTTCTAGTGTTAAAGAAGAGAAGAGAATGATACAAGTTCACTTCTACCTTTCCACGAAAGAGATAGCCACTTCCTCATCTGTCTGAAAGCAGTAGCCGTCCTCTTATCAGAAAATAATCTATAGCCTCTCTTTCGTCTGGTTTCCTAGTAATCTCGCTAATTTCTTCATTCGTTAACTCTCAATTTCATCGTTGTCGAAGCGAGAGTGTGACGTGGTGGTATTTTGGTTTCCTGCCCTGGATGGAAGCGTATTATTCGCGACACGTCATTCCGTATCTATCACTTATCTTCCATTATCCTCTTCCGCACGTTTTTCTTGGAAGTCAGAGGAACATTGATGATCGTCGAAAATGGTCTTTAATTATTTTTATTGCCAGTTCTCAGCTTCTTTAGTGAACGATTGATACGAAGAATTAATTTGATCGCTTTTTATAAAAAAAAAAAAAGAAAAGTACGTAGATTATTTTAACATTTGTCGCATGGTCCAATTGATCTCGATCCAACTTATTTCTGTCAAATACAGTGGATGTTGTTTCCAAAAAAAATAAATACTTTACAGACACGAGGAAAAACTCGTAAATGATTGATTTGGAAAAATTAATTTGCTTGGATAACTAAAAATGTTTCAATTAACTTCTGAAAAATATTTTTTCGTAGCCTACGTAACAACGATCAAATAAATTCGAGAAGTTTTTAATCGCCGAAATATTCCTGTTGTCAAACTCGATGAAATTATGTAAATCTCCAGAATTAATTCTGTGCAAATGATGTTTCACGCATAATTGTGTCGCACAGCTTTATCTTACATCAAGTGGTCGTGAATTTTTCATTGTTTTTTTCATTTCAAGACACGAATAAAGTGCATATGAAAAGTTTCGTAGAAATTCTGTTCGTTTATCAGATGTTATCGAAAGATAAGATTGTATATCTACGTTCGTAATCTGTCGATACAAGCTAAATGTTCTTGAATTTTCAATTTTTCCGAGTGATATTCGGAATTTTATTAATATTAGAATATATTGTGAATATTATGAAGTTTCAAATATTATTTAACTCAATGAAAGTTACGTTTGACGTTAGGATTTTCGTCGAAAAATTCATACCTAAAAATGTTCTTTAATATCCAAATTTAAATTCTTCGAAATCCTTGCAGACGTTCGCAATTTTAATCTTGAATTTTTAATCACGATTTAAATGCAAGATTTGCACTTTTGATTATAAATCTTCAATTTCGACACGTCCAGAATATATTCAATCAAACTGCCAAGTTTGAGAATTCCTCCGAGATTGTTTCTTTATCCACAGTTTTCGAAATTTTCGTCTGCCGGTATTTTTCGAAATTACACCTGCGATTCCCGCAATTTTCAGGTCTCTCGCGTCGACAACTTTGGCGGATTTCAATTTCTGGCCGTGAGGTTCGTCCACGAATTTGGAACAGTTCTCGCTCCGTTGGGAGATGCCTCGAGTCCGACGAGAAGTAGTGAAAAATCGGTGAATATCCCTCGAATACTTTCCATCCTTTTCCGCTTCTTCTTCGCCCCGTGTGACGACCTTTTCTAAAGTTTAACCGCGAATCATTTGCTCGTATAACCGATTTCCTTAACGTTCGTTTCACGAAGGTTTTATGCTCCAAGCTAGTACGAGAGAGAGAGAGAGAAAAGAGAACTAGTAAAACTGATATCAGGCAAGAAAAGTTTCTCCTTTATGAGGATTGAACGACTCTGTTTCCAAGTTGCTCTTCAAATGTAATTCGAAAATGCGAGAACAAATTTTTTCGTACAAAAAATTGCGCTTTCAAGAGGCTCGAGTGTTAAATTTAATCGCTCGTCGAAAATAATGCAGAGTTAATTGGTAATAAAAATTAATAAGCGATATTAATGTAGGTTAAAATTATTAGACTGAAATAAATTAATCAGAATTTATAAATATATAATATGTTTTGTACAATATAATTTATAAATTATATTTTAGTATATTTATAATTATATATTTTATACATATTTATAAATTATATATTTTAATATAATTTATAAATTATTGTATATATTATATTATATATTTTAATATAATTTATAAATATTATATAATTATATTTTAATATAATTTATAAATTATTGTATATATTATATTATATATTTTAATATAATTTATAAATATTATATATATTATATTATAGTTAATTTATAAATTATTATATATATTATATTATAATTATAATATAATTTATAAATAATATAATAAAATTGATTTATCACAATCGTTAAAATTAGTACAAATTGTTGGAATTATAGAATTATTTCATGGAAGTAAAAAGTTTATTGTCTCCACATCGAAGTTACGAGCTTTTTGATCCTCACAGAAAAAGAAAAAAAAAATAACAGCGAATGAATTTGAGGGATTTATTGTTAGAAGCATGTGTTACATTGTTTTTGATTTTTTAATTGAATTTCTCGAAAGGTCGCTTTTAATTTCGTCATCTCCATATCGAGGATAGCGTTTCTATCTGACAAAGGTAATGCTGGCAGATTAATTAGCCAGGAATCATCGCTGAGAACTTGATAAACCACCGAGCCACGATCGTAGTTCAAAGCTTCCTTTGGAAGTTTGTCTGGAATTAATTTCGATCTTCATTCAAGCTGTCTGATCTGACAAAACAAACCGATGGTTGAAATTAACGGCGAGTTTTCACGGAAGAAGAAAAAGTGGGACAGAGTTCGGAGATAATTTGGTCCGATATTATACGGCGAAAGCCATACTACTTGTCTTCCGATTTGATCAACGGTCCTGGCTATTTTCGATCATTTCCACTGGAACTAACCTTACGGACATGGCTAGATTACATTGTTATTTCTATGTAGTCTCTCATTAGATTTTTCTCTTGTTGAATATTTCAGCTGTCCAACTATATTTATAAATACGATTATTTATTTTATTTTAATAACAAGTGTGAATAACAAGTGTCATCGTTCACAATACAAATTTACAAATATTATTATTATTTATTTTGAAAATTTTATATTATTATTATACTTCTGCTAACGTGAACAAGCAAATTTTTACGTTAGACTTCTCTCTCATTGAATAGTTTAATTATTCTAGATACACTTGAGCGAGAAAAAAAATGTATTTTCAAATATTGATCACTAACAGTTTTATTGTGCAATGTTATCACTAATATTTATTTTATTAATCGTAGAATTATTCAAGAGAATTGTACATTATCAAAATTTATTAGGACGAGCCTATATCGAAAGAATTCGGGAATTCTTCGTTTTTCTTCTCAATTTTTTCGTCGCATCAATGAAAGGGGAAATTCCTGAGATAATTTTGACTTAATCCACGCTCGTGCATTTGAATATTTTTCAGCTCGCATTCTTCCTTTGCTGTTTCGAATTCCATGGAATACATTTTTATTACAAATTATAAGAAAGTGAAAGAGCGTTGTTCTGCATTTTTCTTTTCTTCTTCTTTTCTTTTTCTTCGTTTCTCGAAACGAATTAGCCAGCTCCCCTCGTTGATTTATTTCATGTACCACTTGCATCCGTTCTTTTTTTTAGGTACAAACATTCGTCCTTGCCTTCCGATGCTTTATTATTCCGCGCGCGGCTCACAAAGCTCTGCGAAAGCTTTTGTCCAGCATTTTTTTTCGAATATCAACGCAACGAAGGCAGGAATAATCTGATGGAAACGTGGCTTTCAATATCTCCGGCGACAAATCCCGAAATAGAAACTACGATAATGCATAATTCAAAAGGCGCGGCAAACGTAAATTAAAAAAAAAAAGAAAATGTGTGAATCCCTATTGGGGCGAAACGGAAAAGTTGTGAAATTCATTTATACACGAAATAACTTGTGGTAAATTTCTGTCATTTTGCGAGATTCACTCGGAACGTGCACTCTCCAAATTTATGCATAACATTCATTTCATACTTGCTAAAATACGTTTCAGTCAGAGCGAAGTTCAATAAAAGATTAATTAACTCGTTTCGTCTCAATCCATCTCGAATTGAGGTTCGAAAATATTAATTACAAGAATTATTGCTTCATTCACCGTAAGAACCTGATTTCAAGATTCTATCTAAATTTGCCAAATTTATTCCAAACTTTCGTCTGCGACGAATTTGTTCAACAAAATCCACTTCGAAAATTTAGATGTGAATCAAACTAACTTTCAGTTGAAAATCGCGCGAAATCGTTGCAAAATTGAAACGAAATAACGATTCAGAAATTATCCAAACGTCGTTCATTCCCAAGATTATCATTCCACGATGCTTAAGGAAGCATGGACCGAAAAAATAGTTCACGGTTTGTCGCGATTCTGTGATACATGCATATGCTTTTGATGTTCAAGGCAAACCGGCAATAAATTCCCGAATTAAAACGCTTCGTCGCGCAACGGTGTATTCGACCGATCTAACTGGCGTCGCTGGAACTCGTGCAACTGCAAGAGATTTTTTTTATACTTTCCGATGACTCCCAATTAAAAATGTGACCATGACAGAGTATGGAAATTAACTGTACGTATTCGTGGAACAATATGTTTTATATAGAACGAAATATTCACATAGCTTGGAGGCTGATGTGATCAGAAGAAATTTTAAAAGTTTCTTCCATCTTCTGAAAATTTCATTCTACATTTTGCAATTAGCATCAGTGCAAACGAGAAGGAGGTGACTCTACGTGAAAAACTAAATTGAAAATGTAGAATAAAATTTTTTTACGAGACGCTTTAGAAGAAAATCGAAAGTTTGAAAGTTCATCGAGCACACTGGAATTTGACTAGTTCTAAACGTAACAAAAGAGAGTGATTGACTAGGAGATCAGTGCAAAAGTAGATCAAAAATATGGGAGAGAATTTTTTTACAAACTTCAAATATGTTTTGTAAAGAAATTGTCTGAGCACACGTACACCTGATAAATTTTCAAACTTTCGATTTCCTCGAAAGCATCTTTGAAAGAAATTTTATTCCACTTATTTTCGACTTATTTTCACGCGTAGAATAACCTCCTATTAATTACTATTTTCTGTAAAGTCTAAAATTAGCTAAACTGAACAGTATTTGACCAATTTTCAAACTTAGTCCTCTCGAAAACGAGAACTTACATGAAAAAAATTTCATCCTTTCTTTTCAACTTACTTTTTCACGTAAAATCGTAGAATAGCCTCCTTAATCGATTATTATTTTCTGTCAAGTCTAAAATTAGCTAAACTCAAGAGTGCTCGATAAATTTCCAAACTCGATTTCCTCGAAAACTTCTTTGTCTGTCTTTCTTATTTTTTTCATGTATTAGAATCATTTCTTCCCCGATTATATCATCGATACTAGGACACCCTGTATATAAAATACATTCCTCGCGAATATTTAATTAATTACGAATATTTGTTTAATTTCTCATAAATATTAAATTAACAGCTGTTTCGAAGCGAAGCTCTTTCTACAAATTTTTAATTGGAGATCATCGAGAAGTATAAAGAGAATCCCTTGCTGCGTTGCATGCGTTTCGATCCAACAGCCTCCTTAAATTACGTTTCCGGTAATCACATTATGTGTATGTACAGATTTATCCGCCGTGAAACGCAGTCGATTCCACGGATTTCCGTTCGATCGAGAAACTCGATGCATTATATAGACGTAATTGGCAAGGTGCCAGTGTCTAAAATCAGAATGCAGCTCCTTTCGTCTGTGTTCGTCTATTGACGCGTAAATCATCGGTCGCCTGGAGGGAGAAGCAAAGTTGCAATTTCTCAAAGTTGAAATTATTGTCAGCGAGTGAATAGCAAGTAGGATAAATGTTTGCTTTTATCAGTGTATCATTCCTTTTATTTATCAATATTGTAATTTTCGCAGTAATTATAGCGGTAACAGATATTTCGGAATTAGAACGCTGATCAGCGAATAATATTACGAATCACGTTGCCTAAATAATTCTCTAAATAGTTAATTACTTGATTATCTCGATTAATATGAAAATGCAATTAATTTCTACCATCGTTCTACTTTCCATAATCCTTAAGGTTTATGTAATACTTTATCGCGTAAAATCGTTAACAGGCACTGATCCCTCTACTTCAGAAGAAACGAAGCCAATTTAGAACCTTAAACCCTTATGTATATATATGTATTTTTAGTTATATATATATATATATAATGCATACAGCGTACAATTAGAAAAAAACTGTTCGCACAAACAAAAATATAAATTAGTAAATTTTATAGTATATATAATATTATAGTAAAAAACTAAAATTATAATTAAAATTAATTTCCTCTCAATTGGAATTTTAGATCTTGATTCGAATTTTTAAAGTAACAATATTTCTTGAATTTTTGTTGTTTAATGTTCAGAAATGGCAAAAGAAAAAGACAAAAAGAGGAAGAATTGCACGAGATTTAGATTTTAAAGAATCATTATGAAGGGGAGACTTCGATCTTTAAGATTATGATGAATCTACTCACGAGAAAGAATTCTCAATATTTTCAGACTTTTAACTTTGACGTAGAAACGAACCCACGTTGTCAAAGCAGAAGCTTTGCACTTTAAGATGAGATTAAGAGCATTATGTTTCAGCATGATCTTTTTTCTTTTTACAAAATTACAACTGTATCAACAATCATTCATCATTATGTATGTAATATTATGCTGTTTACTGATTGTGTTGATAAAACACTACAGACAGTCCTATTCTATTTAATTTCACATTCATAAACGTTGAAGTTGCTACACTTTCAAATGTCCAGTGACATTTTTCTCGATACTTTCGCATTCGTCGTATCGTTTTCAAGGATACAAATAAGAAAAAAAAAAAAAAAAAAGGAAAAATAGACCAGGAACGTATAAAAATTAAGAAAGACTTTTCTCGTCGTTGCAAACAAGTGAGACTGGGCAAAACGTGCGAACGAGATCGTTCTATTTATATTCATCTGTGTTCTACATTGTCGATCACGCGCATAATCGAGCACGCGACTGTTCGCCGAGACGAAACAATTAACAGTCCTGATTACTGAAAACTCAGAACGATCCATACTCAAAACTCGGAACTCGATATGCACGTACACACTTTCAACGCTTTCAATTAATTATGCAACGACTGGCCAGGTCATGGTTTATCCTACGCGACGACACTCAGCTCAATTGTTAACTGATTTTCGACGAAGGGGGTTGATGAAAATTCTCTCTCGTTTCCGCAACATTCGCGGTTCACGCCTCTATTTCATTAACCCGATCAGCAACACGCGGGCTCGTGATTTATGCCGCGCGTACGTGTTCAATATACGATGAATCCTCTGCAATTTTCGTGAGAGACGCATGCGTTGCATAAGACACAGTGACTCTTACCAACATTATTACTTCGTATGTATATTTGTTCAGTTTCGTTGAATTAATTTTACCGTGGCTGGTTGAATGCATAAATTTCATTTATTTCATAAATACACATAGTTAGGTGCGAAACGGCTAATAAAGTTCACAAGTGGTTGAGAAATTAGGGTGACAAGTTGGCAGCAGGTTAACGTAGCTGTTTATAGTAATTAATGCGTATGATAAAAAAAAATTAGGTAATATAGAGTTGGTTATTATTATTGGAGTTAGTAGGAATATGAATTTCATTTATTTGATGAAAGCTTAGGGATATGTGATAAATCTTTTTGCTGCTTTGTTGTTGCATTCAGTTTACGTTTTCTCTGTCAACTCGAGGAATGTAATGATTATTAAAGGAGAATGAACGTCAGGTTACAAAGGTTAAAAAAGGATATCAGAGAGTTAGTAAGAATCTCTTGCACTTTTTTTCCAGAAAAGAACGTTTATCCAATAATTCTGTGAGGTATTCCGAAACTATTGGAACAAATTTCAGAAGACGTGTGTTGGCTTGCATTTCTCCTGATTTCTGGGTCGAATTGGGAATAATTTAATCTCATGAATAAATTATTGCAATAATTTCCTTTAGTCTAATGCATATTGAAGCCGTTCCGTTCATTCGTTTGCAGCATCATAATTTATGACCATTTTATGTATTCTGCTTTTTTGTTTCTTTGTTTTCTTGGTCCCACGCTTGGAGATTTAATTTTTTGCGAATTTAATTAATCAATTATTAAATTGAATAATTATTCAATTCTTTGTTTACGACTTTATTAATTCTTTTCTAATTATTTATTAATTCTGGGCTAATTCTAAGTCAAGTCATTAGGCTTCCAAGTGACTGATGAATAATTTTCGATGATCAAATATTGCTGTCAGGTAATTTCTCCAAATGTTCCTTATGATCCTGAAACCATCAGTTAATAAAATTGATATTTATTCTCTCTACATGTAATCTAAAATAAACGATTCAATCAAATGGCCCTAAAACTCTTATTTTTATGATCCTGTAATTTACTTCAAATATGATCTCCGCATTTTTGATTGTTGGAAAAACAATTTG